GTGGGAGCAATTATTCTTATCTAAGTACGCTCTCTTTTTGCCGATACATTGGTTGCAGCCCAGATTTATGTCGCCAGTTGATTTAATTCGAAAATTAGAAAGATCTTTTGATTTCTTACATATTTTGCAAATTTTATTTTCCATCTTTATTTATTATATATGTACCTAAAATTGTTTCTCATTTTTATTCACAGCAAAGAATAAGATACAGGCGGCTCAGTCATTAACACCAGCTTACTGAACTTCACATCTCGCAAGTGCTTTTCAATCGATTCCCTTTCACAATCGGGCACCACGTCGTTTTCGTCCAAACACTGATCAAAACTGTTTCGATCCTTACAATGAAACATCGCGACCCAAGCCGTGTTCTCTCTGAAGTCTTTTAAGACATAGTTGTACTTCTGCGTCAACAGCCAAAGCTATCACTCCGACTGACGAGCGAGGAACGTCACCAGGGACAATTGGGAGACGTTCCGAGCGTTTGATACCATATCAATTCAATCTTACATTGACTCTTTCACTAGTGTACACCCGGCTAAAGAAGTTACTTCAGCCTCACAAATTTCCAATAGCACAACGCCATTTATCTGAGCTCAAGGGAGGCCGTCATGGATGCCGTCCAAAATGAACTGGGCCATGCTGGCACTTTCCTCGAACTGACTCCGCTCGTTTGTTTTACCACTCACATAATCCTATCAAATGTCTTTCCCGAAATACCCAACTCCGTTCTTGTGCATAATCTGACATTTACCATGTCTACTTTGACTTCAACCCTAACCCCATTAATCTCCAATTCAACATCCACCTTATATTTCCATCCATTACTCCTCCCCTCCCCATCATCCTATCCATTTCCTACTCTGCCCCCTCCCCATCAACCTACCCATCTCTTACTTTGCCCCCCAATAAATAAACAAATACCCCCCATAATAGATAAATAAAACTAGGAGAAAAAGAATGCCCTTTTCACAAAATGCAAAAAAGCCCCCAAAAATCTGGACGCAAAGAATGCCCTTTCCGGAAAAGCCTGAAAAATAACTAAAAGCTGTCCAGGCCAGTGGCCCAAACAGTTACAAGACATCTTAAGAAAAACAATAGCTGTTTGGGCTGTTAGCTCAACAGCTAAAGAAATGTCTTCAGCACAACTGACTGACTCAAGTTGTACTTTAAAATTAATGTTTTATTTCCAACTGCAAACCAAAACACAAAAAGACATTTTTAACAAGTTGCTAGGAAGTACAACTGTCAAAATATGTGAGCCATCTACCATTTGTTTTGGTTAAGGAAGACAAAAGCTTAAATAGCAAAGACTCCTTTGCTAGTGTGCAGGGTTTCAATCCCCGTTTCAGCACTTTTTAATTTGCTAAAAAAATATCAGTTTTGGAGATGTTCCATTTCAGAACCAAACAAAGCACAGAAAATGTTTCTTTTTTGAAGTTAAAAAAGGAGGATATTGAGTGTAGCCCACATAGGCAAAATGCTGTTTACACAAACGTTGAGTGCCCTCTGTTGATCTGTATTCCTGACGTTGAATGTTGCACGAATAAAGGTAGTAATCCTCCAAAGTCCCGCCTCTACTGCCTGTGAATTTGCCCGCGCCAGGTCATGCAACAGGCCCCTTTCAAAACTGTTGCATAAGGTTTTTTTACTTAACAGCTGACTTTTAGTGAGAAGACTTATGGGTGAAAGTCCCATCAAAATCTATAATAATTAGAGGACAGCTTTCATTGGGTAAATCTGCTGCACAAGTGTAAACGGGAAAATTGTCAATCTCGTACATCCTGATACTTGTCCAAGCCCTACACTTTGTAGAAATGAACGAAAGAGATAGCTATGGAGGGATGGATATTTGTATAAAAAGCATAATACCCAAAGTATAAACATAATTTAAGAGCAAATTAAATGTAAAATTTGAAATAAAAAGATAATACTTAAAACAAATTAAAATTAAACTGGAAATGTTAAAATGACAGGAACTAAATATACATTCAGAATGTGACTATCATACGCTACTTTTAGTCAAACATCTAATTTACAGTGCTTTAATTAAAAAGGAAACCTAACTTGTGAATTTCAAAAGGATATCCTACATCTTTTGAACAATTGAAATGCCTTTACAAATACATTATACTGTAAATACACTATACTGTGCTGTATCTTGCACAATATGTGCAATTTGCAGCTTCTCTGAAATTGAAACTATTTGGCATCCTCTTTAGGTTACGCTTGTTTTCAAACATTTAACATTTTCAGTGCTTTTCCTGACAAAGTAATCTCATCAAGAATCTGTTTGGAGGGGGGGTTGGGTGTTCTGTTCAAATTGGGAACTCCAAATTGACTTACTGGCGGTATTTATAACAAAATGTTAACTAACTGGCCAACTGTCATGATCTGAAACAGGAACATATCACACAAAGAGGACACTTCATATGGCGAATTCTAAAAACAATGCTTGTGCTTATCGACCAAGTTCCCAAACTGCTGTATCTTGGTCCTATAGGCATTGTTTAAGCATCTGTGCAAAGTGGAATATTCCACATTTAGTCCATTGGGTGAGTGTCCCACAATCAAATGAGGCTGTTCCCTTTTTTCTAGCTGTAACACAAAGTGATCTATATTTTGAGGAGAGACCATTATTTCACTATAGAACATCAAAAGACTGTGTCGAACACCATCAGCGACTTAAGTCTAAAAATCAACATGCTACTGAATATACACAAACCCAACACCACAAGGTAACCCATAGTTTTTGCTTGCAACATTCTCACAGAATGCATCTTTAACTTTTTCACACTATTCCGGGTTCCACGGTGCAACAACTCCTGTTGTAAAGACTCCCTGCCACCCTACATATTTTCAGGAATGTAATCAAGACATACGGGGTCAGCTCAAGTTGCACATGTCTGTTGGTGTTGTAGAAGAAAAGATGAAGCCACTGCTCTACAAGTGCAACACTGATGACATCATTGGCACATATTTTCATAAAGGATTACATGTACAGCATTTTATCAATCACACCGACACCTACCATCCAGTATTCCACTTTACAGTCAAACTGTCTGACAAGTCCATTCCCTGCCTGAACATACTAGTCATTTCTGAAAGAAGCTGCCCTTCCACTTTGATTTATTACAAACCAACAAGTTTCTGTAACTACATCCACTAAATATCATCTCATCCTCCTACCTGCAAGAACTCAATCTCTTACTGCCAGCCCCCTCTGTCTCAAACGGATTTCAACAAGAGAGTCTGACATCATCATTGAAAGTAGTAACATTTCTGAAGATCAAGGCTACCCACATGTGGTTGTTTTGCCCACCCTCCAGTCAGTCAAACTTACGTCCAGAGAAAACATACAGGCACCCGTCAAACATAACAGTATTGGCCGATAGATTTACAAATAAATCTGTGTAGTGTCAGGAAACAGCAATCTCTGCATCACTTCAACACACATCTAATCCTCTTATCTGTGATGACGTGCAGGTATACACCGAAAGTACAACTGAGTAGTGTCTCATATTCATTCTAGGGGCACTCACTCCAAATGTACTCAATCGACCTGGAATTCTCTGCATTGCATAAATGCACAAACAACCCCAGAAAAGGATGAAGGTCTGAAAGCATGGAAACTCTTTTGCAGATTACTGCTTTTTACATTTTCTGTACTGTTCATTTTCCGAGTGCTTTAATGCTTCTCCTTCATAACTTCCAGACATAAAAAATAATTGTTTTAAAGAGAGACATGTGACCAATATATAACATACAATGTGTCCATGAACACTGTACAAGTTTTTGTAGCTTTGGACCAAAAGACTTGTTTTGACTAAAATCTAGACACTTAAGGTGAGGTAAACATTGCAGAGAATTCAAAACAGTTTACAATGATGTGAAATACAATGTTTTCAACACCCTGAAAGATGCATAGTACCATCAGCAACACCTATGGTGCTACAAGTTCTTCAGGTAATAAAGCATTATATCCAACATCAAACCAGCCATTTAAGAGTTAAGTACATGTAATGCACCCTGACAAATAGCTGGTGGCAGTTCATTTATTACTGTACCTTGTAGTGAAATCACATGAAGTACACTCTTTAGTTGATTTTCACTAAATTCCAGAAAACACCCCTGTTAATTTTATAAGGTTCACATAATTCTTTTGAGCATTGTTTTGAAATCAGAATACAGAGATATCCGACTACCTTTTAAATTGAATGAAAACACAGTTTACAAATCCCAAGCAGCACAGGTTAATAGAGTGGTACATGTGTCTTGCCCACTTTAGTAATGATGAAGTAGTTACTGTTCTGACTGACAGGTGTATCATTGTCAAATATCACATTTATACTTTTAATATATCCATGAATTTTGTGTTCTGCTATTTTAATTGGTAAATCTGGGGATCATATATGTATTCAATCAAATGTTCATGGTTTACTACTGAAAGCTTTTCCAAGCATTGTATTCCTATTGTGAGAACAGAGCTCCAGCCAATTTCATGAAACTTTACGCAACGGCATAACTCCACTTACAACCTATTTTACTGTGTAAGTTGCAAATTGGGACCGATTTCACCAAACTGAAGCACTACATAAGCCTGTGACTTACAAAACAATTTATGGTGTAAGTTACGCAGTCAATTTAGGTGGTGGTAAGTTGTGCCAAAAAAAAGCAAAAATGAACGATTTTGACTAGCTTATCGTGTTCGGTTAAGCCTCATCATTGCTAAACTTATCAAAGCTTATATAAGAAATGTGCAAGTTTGTTGGAGAAGGAAATGAAAACTTTGTTTAGCTGTGAGAAAATTGCAAGATTTTCTGTTTGGTTCAGACAAAGAAAAGACAATTGCACCACTGTCATGGACTCTTATTCCCTTTATAGTGAGGATTATGATGTATCCAAATACTTCCAAATCAAAATCATTTTTACAAATTTTTAGTCACATCATGTAAATTTGGTTTGACTTTTTTTTTAAAAGAAACATGTACATGTAACTCCTGGCATGTGAAAGAAAAAAGAAACAAAATACTTCAGGTGATAAAATCACATTTTAAAAAACTTACATGTACGTGTTAATCAAGCTTTGCAATATTACTTACTGCTTTATATGATTATGTCCAAAGACTAAATTTTCTTGCATAATTGGTTGAAGTAGTGGTTCACAACCAATGGCACATGCTGGACAGCTACTACTATCATCCTCTAATATCATCCTGTTGATTTCCATCGTCTCTGAAATAAAAGAAGGGGTAACATGCAAATGAACATGAGCAAGTATTGCTTAAGTTTAGGCCCTCCCGATGAGCATTTATCAGGAAAATCCCAGCACGTAACTTAATTTGGGAGAAATATACACTCAGGCACCGCAGCACAGCATAGCACACACACACTAACACTCACTGGGCTCAACCACTCTCAATAAAACACAATTAATGCCGTAACTTCTGTCATGGTTTATTCTGCCTGCACCTTGGAAGGCGGCTCCTGATTATTCCAGTCTCCAAATGCTAATCTCGGTACCAGCCAGCCCAGTGGGTCCTCTTGCCTCCATGTGCAGTGGAAGCAAACTCACTGAACAGCATGCAACGCAAAAAAATGCTCCAAGGAGAGCACCCAGGAACTAAAGCTGTGAGCTAAAGTGCACTAGCCAGATAAAAAGAGAGCTGCATGAGGCTGGCACCACCTTTAATGCTGGCAGGCAACAGCGGCACAGAACCATCACATTGGGTTCCAGGATGAGACTGGTACCAGGTCTATCTAATGTTTCCTTACAGTTTCATGTTGAAACTTATTTGTTATTTTTTTCTGTAAATGCCACCTTCCAGGCTTCAACTGAAATAGAATTGGGTAAAAACACCTTCCTGATCTGGTATCATCATGTGCATAAGTGAGAGCAAGAATGCATACCGTATAAGGTTTCAGGGCTAATCCAGGGAGAGGTTAAGCCAGAGAATTTTTTTCGGGGGGGGGGATATTTTTGTGGACAAGGAGAAATGATGATGAAAATTTACATGAAATACATTTGTTACAGTAACTATCCTCACCGTATGCTTTTCCTTGGCAGAATATGTCTGCCCTCTATGGGGAAAGATCAGCCCATGCCAAGAAATTAGACCGGTACAGCATTGCACAATACCTGCCATCTCATCACTTTACGTCTAAAACCCACAAACACAAACAACCTAAACCTCCTTGCTGGTATTGCCTCTGCTAATATTAGGCAGGAAGTTACCAGCCAAGTCAAGATGACCAAAGCCACAACAGAAAAACACTACCTCCTTCATGGACATCAACTTCCAACACAACAAAACGAGGTAAGAAGAAGCTTCCTCAGCCATATCCAGCCCCTGACAAAATCCTGGGAAGAAACCAGACAGTCTCTAGCTCTGGATGGAAAACCTCTAAAATGAACCTCCTCAAGCTGACATGTGAATTCCACCTGCTGAAAAATTCCCTGCTGGCTCAGAGGCAGAATGGGGCTATTGGAAAACACTGAACCATCTGAAAACAATAACAGGATGATGAAAGGTTGCTCTGAACAAGCCTGGACCAACCACCTGTACAGGAGGAGAAGCAGACCACACCATGAGGCACTGCCACGCCTGCCTTATACAACCTAATCCTTGTATTCACAAAGACTTGCAGAGTTCAACGCACATGCAAAGATCTGTGTCAAGAAATGGGAGACTGCTGTAATGATTTACCAGAAAAAAATGGAAACAGGTTTCTGAACATTCATTCTGTCAGTAGCTTACAAGCATTTGGCCTTCTACTGCTTCTTGAAATTCGCCATCAAATCTGTTCACAGAAGGGGAGGAGACTCAAGTTATGTCCGGGCCTTGCCCCCTCAGATGGAAGGAGAATGGTATCAAGAACATTGGCTCATGGACTAGAGTAGTGAGCATGGTAATCCAAACAAAGTGGTCCATGCAAAGTTGGAGGCAATCATCCAAAAGACAATAGGCCAGTTTTTTTGTCTTGGGGGAAACTGTGGAGTCTGCTTCACATGAACAGGCTTAATAACTCAGACAGCTGTAGAAAATAGGCCACCCAAGAGTATCTTCTTTTTTATTTCTTTCCAGGCTGGGAAATAAGAACTTATTTGATGTGTGGCTGGTAGAAACAGTTGGAATTTAGTCTATGAAGGTAACTGATTACAGTAAAAGAAAAATTAAAGTCAGACTGCACCACCTGAAAAGGCCAAATATCTCTTGCAGTGAATGGACCCCACATTTTCATGGCTGCCAAAGTTTGGATCCAGTTGATACAACATTGATCAATCAGAACATCAGAAAATCTTGGTCCCAGGAGTCACCTGGGCCGTATGTGTTTTGAAAGATGGGTAGTTGCTGTGGTCTGCAACTAGTTAATCTGCCGGTTTTACGTTTAGCACCCTGGGCATTTCCTTCATTAAAAGGTGTAACCTATGGTCATATGTGGAAAGGGTTGCCATGCAGATGACCTGAACTTGGAGAAAACAGCTGTGGGGAGTTGGGGTACCGCACCCCCCCCATGTTCACATTCAGCGACTTGACCTCCGTGACACTCGGGTGAAGCCGGGCAATGGTCTGCAGCCAAATGGGGAGAAATTGATTGTCAGAATCCAATGACAATGCGCCAGAATAGTAACAAACATATGTTCGTCTGGCTTGGATAGTGAACTATCCTGTGCAGGGCTGACTAATACGCTCGCTGGCCAAGTGTCCTCAGGAGGTTTCAGGATCAGAGATGCTATAGTGGCCAATAATTGCTGAAAACCTTATAAAAACCACCTGTATTATGCTGTCAGACTGAGATCTACAGCAACATGCCAACTGGAGCAGGACGGATAGCTCAAACAAGACTACGAAGAGGGTGAAAGCTGGGGCTAGAATAATGGACTTTTTTAAGTTGTGACAGTGTATGCCTTCCGTCGCTGTATCCCTCCAGCTGTGATGATAAACAGATGACCTAGTTTCCATCTGGGCCTGATTTATCTCCCATGAATAACCTGGTTTTCTTGTCCAAGTGAGAACTGGATGACCCAGTTTCCATCCGGGGCGGGGCCAGTACACCGAGAATTATCCTGTTTTTTTTGGTCAGGACCAGAATCCCCAACGCTGGGGTCCAGGGGGCCGGAGGGTACCTTGCTGTCCCCAGAACAGCCTCCTTTCTTACTAAGCCTTTCCAGGACACTGAAGGCCTGAAAGGCACAGCTCTGGACCTGGCCTGATCCACACGCTTACTTCTTAGTTTACTGGTAGTAGAGGCTAAAGGCCCAGGAGGCGTGGCCCAATTCCCTATGCCTAGTGTGCCGGCGGCTCAAGGCCCAAAAAGTGTCTCTGGTATGTGGGTGGCTCAATCATTATCGCCTGAAATACGCAGGGAACTGGAGGCCCAGAAAAAGCAAGCCCAGATGTTGGGTATTCTTACTTGGGGCCAGAGGCCAAGAAGGTGTATCTCCTGTAAGTGACTTACATGTACCTGATTTTTTTCTTTGAGGACTGTCTTTGATGTGAGGAGCACAGTAAAGTACAGCTGAATTTACAGATGGTAAAATTAAACGAAGTTGCAGGTTTAGCTAAGCTACAGATTTAATACAGTGGCACGCGCTGCACACATAATAAAATTTGATGGAGTAACACCATGCTTACTCTTGCGTGACTCTGCTATGTTAAACCTACAACAAAATAACTGGTGACTTTCTAGTCAAGAGAAAATGGCAAGACGTGTCTAGAAGAATCATATTTATTTCAACAGATGAAAGGTCAGACCACACATACTTGGTGTTGATTTAATCAACTTACAATGGTAATACGTATGTTAACTAGTGATAAAAAAGGAAAATAAGAAGCCTTCAGGCGTGTGAAAATTATGTGTCTCACCCGCCAGGCACTGGAGAAAGGAGAGTGAAGGTACGAGACTAATGCAAGTGCTGGGGCTTAGGCACTGAGGGCAGCATTGACTGTGCTGTAAAAACTAGCAGTGCGGAGCCTTAAGCCAGAGAAATATGCAAGTGTAAAGTTTAACAGGTAAGGGAATCCCCGAAGTGGACCCGGGCAATTTGGCACCAATCCAGTTTGCTCTGCCTATAGCCAAGTTGATATTTGCTCAAAGTTATATTGATTGTCAATGTGTCAGGGAATAGTCAGTAGGCAGGCAGTCTCCTGAAGACGGACAGAGTACACTGTTCGAAACTTCGAGTTATTCCCCGTTTCTTCTCAGAACCACACATACTCAAAGAAGAGATAAATACATGGTGTTACCGCAATCTTTACTATAAATCTTGTCAGGAAATACTTCTCTGTATTGAAGATAAAACCCAGTTTGAGCGAAAATTGGATTGTCTGTTGGAGGATCCGGACAATGTCCTGTAAAGTAGGGTCCACTATAATCCAGTCGTCCAGGAACATGAAAGGTAGACATATCTCTGATGCAAAAATGCTGAAAACATTTGGCGATTCTTGTGAAGACCCAAAAAGATGTGAAAAGGCTGAACAGTAGGTAGCGAAACAGGTATGTAATCCCACGTAAACCAATTAAAGGAACTTCTGATATGCATGGATAAGCACGTAAAAGTAAGTATCTTTCAGGTTGATAGAAGTTGCCTTGGGAGCCTTTTATCAGAGAGTGGAAACAAGTTTACAGTGTCTACATCCGGAAGTGTTTTGACCTGATGTAATACAGTGGAATGCCACTAAAACAAACACATAAACATTTGGGTATCCTGAATATCTCGTGGCCCCCGAATTTTCCGTGCACTTTTACCAACCATTACAATTTAAAAAAAAATAAAAGTAACACATTTGGAAATAAAACTGATGATGATTACTCAAAGTTGAAGAAAATCACACCCATGATGGAACAATGGCCAATATGTGGTGCGGTCTACATTGTTCTTGATAAATGAACGTGTGTATGGCCATGAATCCACAGGTGGCCATCAGCTAGAGCACATGTATGCAACGCTGGCGATTTTGGCATGAACCTTTAACAATCAGCAAAACAAATAACAAATATGCAGATAGACCCGAGCATTTGTTACTCAACTTACAGAAATCTGCAATAAATACATGTACCTTGCTAGTTTCAATTGTTTTAAAATATGTTTGCCTGACATTTTGTAGCCGACTTTGGACATTACATTATTTTGTAAGCACGTCAGCATTCCAGAGCTACTGTATTAGAATTTTCCTGACGTAGCCCATTTCTTCAAATGTCATTTTACCAATGGGAAACGTTGTAACTGTGCTACATGCTGTATGCAATTTTTATTTATTTTTTGCTGTATGCAATAAAATGCTATTTTATTTCATATTTCATGAGTCTACTTCCAATGAAAGAAGATGAACATACATTTGACAAACTTTCAGTGTTTTTATTTAGGTTTTAGCATGTTGGCTCGAAATCCTTACACCGAAAATAATGTGGGAAAGCCCACCACACGTGTCAATGAGTTTCAGTTCGGATAGCTGGGTGTGTGCATCTGTGACTTGAAATCACTATACTGAATGACTGCTATACCAAACATTTTGTTTGGACCCCATCATGTTCATTATAGTGGCATTCCACTGTAGGTTAGCAGTCACAGACCTCCTTAGTGAAAGAAAGAATATCAAGGTGAAACCAAGAGTAGGTTCATGAAGGAGTACTGAAATGGGGTTCTTTTCTCAATTCCTGCTACACAGCAGCTCAGCTGGTGGGATCTGTAGGGACAGGAGTAAGTCATCAAGGAGGAAGAGGGTCACTGGTGAATTCCAAAAAATACCACAATGAAATAGCTTGAAGAACTCAGCTATGTGAAATAATATGGAACCACCCGTGACTGAAACTTTAAAAGAGGCCACCTGCTGGGCTTCCAGGGGATGAGCATTTTGTAGGTGTCATAACCAGTAACTTCTTGGGACTGACAAATAAAGACTGACCTGTGCTCTTCATGGGTTGATAAACTGAACCTTGGTTTAAGGAGTATTTTTTTGTAGGTTGGGTGGCTATAGAGGGGTATTTGGCCAAATGCCAGAGATCAACTTGTCTTCCATCTTGAGATATTTGGCTTCCTTTATCACGGCATTAAGTAAAGCCAAGTAGTGTAAGGCAAATGGTCTTTTGCCTAATACCTTTGTCTTAACATCAAACAATTGTTTACGGTGGTGAGGATTCTCATGTCAAAGCAGATCTTTGGCCTCTGAAGAAAGAGGAGGGGGATGATAAGTACTATTTAGGACCAGATCGTTAGTATTGAACAGGCCTGTCACCCTCTGCTTTATAGGTGGAGTCATCTGTTTATCATGAACCTGCTTTAAAGCCTCGTTTGTAATATATACATTGCACTGTATCTTTTGGGAATATGGGTTGTTTAGGTTTGCATATACCTGTATATATATGGTCAAGGAGGTCAAGAGGACTCAGCCATGGATGGAGGGGGAAATTGAAGCAGCTTATCAATATCTGTAAATGATAGATTGGCCTGCTGAAAAAAGGAGTGGTTATCTCTATTGGTGGATGGAGTAAAGGCCAAAGAGGTCTCTAAAGGTGATAAGAACACATGTACTGACTTTTCTGGTTTCGTGGAAAAAATTTAGTCTGCCTGCGACGTCAATCTATTGAATGTGAGTGGGACCTTGAACAGGTACAAGTATTATGTTGCAAAGTTCCTACAGCAGAAATTGGTAAGCTCATGAGACTGTTGTTGAGAAATGGCCCACATCCTGGGGCATTAACTACATAAATCCCCTCGATAAAGTGTGTAGTAGTGATGGAAATAACCCATGGGGAACATAGTTGAAAAATCCTGCATGGATGAGAAATACTTATTATGTGGATGGTGAGGGGTGTTTGGAAAATAGGGCCATGCATTGGGCTGACAACAATGATGAAACTGTTGCATCTTAAAAATCAGTTGCATTGCTTTTATGTAGAAAGGTTATTTAACAGGGAATGGGTCATTATTACCCATATAATGACTAAGATGGCAGCTTCTCTTCGCATTTAGAAAATATCACCATTTTGCTAGTTGAGTTCTGGCATGAGAATGCTCAGAGTAAAAAAAATGTGTCAAGGGGGCGGCAATCAAATCCAGCAATTTATTTATGTCATAATAGGGCTCGTCTCCCCAGAGCTCTGTAGCTGGCAGCTGTAATAGGCTGCCTGTTCCTTGCCAGTCATTCTTGGCAAATGACTGTGGCCATCTGCATGAATTTCATAGGGACCTTACTCCAATTCAAACTGGGACATTTCAACTGCATCAATGCGATCCAGTGTTGAAATAAACTTGACTTCCCTGATCAACATTGTCATAATAAAAGTGATTTTTAAGTCACTCTACTGTCGTACCTCTCTTAATTAACAGTTAAATTCAAGCTAGCACAGCTCTCATGCATGTGGGCGCATTCACCCGAAATAATGAAACAGTTGTACAATTGCAGAGCCGTATTGTGATGTCATCAAAAAAAGCAGCAATTGGATGCTCCCGACTTTTATTTTTGTTTTGCCTGGTATGAAGGAGAACTTAACTTGTGCTTTTGACATAATTAGCAATCTTTATGTAGTTTTTTAGATAAGAGATAGTTTTAAAGATTCTTTTAACCAACACATGCAGGTGCTCCATTCATTTGGACTACACTGCCTAGTTCAAAATGATGTGACACTTTGGTACTCTTTAAGCAGCAAGATTGAGAATGTGTTGTTCTATGGTAGTTAGATACCTACGCACACTGAATGCATCAGTAAAAAAAAAAAAAAAAAAACCCAAAAACCACTGGGACGAGTCTATGTGTTACACAGCCCTTTGTATGGGTACAGTGGTCGTGGAAAGTGTAGCTTGGATGACTTTTTTCAGCACATTTTGTAAGCTTGCATGCTGGTGTGAAAATGTCGGTAAACAGGGATGACTTGTTTGCTATAAAGAAATGTTTTGTAGATTACTGTAAAAGAAAAGTGACCCACCTGTTCTGCAGCATGCCAACACCCTGAAGAAGTGCACTTCCTATATTACTCTCCTCGAAATTAGTCCTATATTGATACGTGATAGGACTTACTTCACATGCCATTTGACACAATTGACTGGTGTTAACTGGCAAACCACTGCCCCCAAGACTTCTCTGTCCAGTAGGAGGTGTCAAAATTGGCTGACTATTTTGGTCCCAAACTTTCCCTTGTAAAACTCCAAATTGTGCTGAATCAGGATTGATACCATGAACTGACGCCTGACTGTTCAGACAAGGGGATTCCTCTATCCTTGCTGACACAGCAGGTGAGTTTGCCACATGAGACAAGAGGAAAATTTGATCTTCAGTTGTGCCATTATGATGCTCTGACCTGTGATCAGAAAGAAAAAATATTCAAAAGAAAGTCTGAAAGTTCATATTTGGGAATATCGTATCATGCAACCTCCTCCTTTTGTGAATCACCACCAGGATGATTCTGAAACAGATGAGAAAATTAATTCTGGCAAAACTTGAAAATGTTTTAAGAAAAAAGGTGCTCAGGAAGATTGTAAAATGAGTTGTTGCTTTACAAGCTTGAGGAAGAAAAAAAACGGCAGAATGAAAACATGAACAGTTTTTAAGATTTTTTATTTCCAGAAAGTGCCTGCTGATTTGATTTTCGCGTTGCTGACTTGACTTAAAGGTTTCCTATGGGCATTTACGAAACGGGTGGCTTCGGCTTAGTCTTTGGCTTCGCTGGTACCAGTCGGCAATGGCCGGAGTCTCCTTAAATGGCTGGAACCAGTGAAGACTATAAAGCCTGAACCACTCGTTTCATAAATGCCCTATCATTCCATTGCACCCAATGTAATTTTAGGACGTGCAATTTTGTAAAACAATTTTTTCCAATTTTTTTTCTTTTTGATTTTCAACAAATAAAACAGCCTCATTAAGGAGGTAACATTTTTAAATGTGTACTACAAAACTTGTTTTGATATTAAAGTGTAAAACTGATTTATGGTACAGAGCTTCACTACATGTATTTCGACTCGAGTGCATTACTTGCAATGTTCAAAATATGGCTCAAAAAATTACGTATGTTTAATCACAACTTTTGAAGCTTTCATCCGAGTTGAGAGGAGTTTGTTTTCTTGCTTTTGGCTTAAAAACATAATTTCAAACCCATCACGATGAAGAGCTTGTTAGACAATGCTGCCTCTGCATTCACAATATCAGTATCATACAAATATGACACTGTTGTTAGATTCACACAACGAATTACTTGAACAAATGCTGTTGCATGTTGGTCAGCAGCCAGTTGATGTTCTGCAAAAAAGCCTCTTTAAGAGAAAACCCTTTACCTCTTTAAAGAAAACCCTTTACTAAATGTGCAGTTTGTGCCTTTCTGTAACTTTTTACGGAGACATTTAAAGAGCTGAATTTATTTTGTTGAAATAAAAGCGAGGTAGCTTACACTGTGAAGTTGGGTTTTATCTGTTCTTTGTGCTCTGGTTGGTGTTTTCTCAGCTGTGCTTCTTCAATTTCTTGTAAAGTCCGAGGCTTTTCACTTGGATGCAGACTTTGTTGAAAACACAAAGAATGTGCCAACTGATTGAAACATTCAAGATTAAATCTTCCACCAGTGCTTTGCTGCTCCTGAACTAGGCAGGGTTGGTTTTGTTTAGATTGCACAGGTATTTTTGGTTGAGAAGAAAACTGTTGCCTCTCCTGATATTGGTACTGCCATTGCTGATTTGGATACTGTTGCTGTTGGTGCTGTTGCCTCCGCTGTTGCTGTTGGTACTGCTGCCTCTGCTGTTGCTGGTGATACTGTTGCTGCTGCTGGTGGTGATAAAGCTGCCTCTCCCACTGCGGCTGGTAACCTTGTAGCTGCAGGTGCTCCTGCTTTTCCTGTTGCCGTGTGTGGTACTGCATCCTCCCTTTCTGCTGGTAGTACTGTTGCTGCTGGTACCTCTCCTGTTGCTGCTGAAACTGCTTTGGTGTTATCTCTCCCTCCTGACCCTATAAGAAAAAGGGTACACCAATAGAGAGCATCCTAAATATGTAGAAAATCACAAACCTATCATATGGGACAAATTAAAAACTTTTTCTTTCTAGATCAATATGACAGTTCCAACATCCGCTAGGCCATAAATGTTATACGAAGAATAAGGCTACAAATGGCACAGGCCTCCAGATAATTCTAGCTAGGTCCATTATTACATTTTTTTCTCTGAAATTGGTGAGAGAGCTCTGGGTGGATTGCCTGATGCTTCAAAGGAGCTCAGTGACTCTTATTAGCCAGTTGCTGCTTTGCCTCACTGATGTATAAAAGGACACACTGGGTGCAGGTGTTGCAGCATAGAATGTTAGCCAAATTGTACCTAATAATCCTGCAACATCCCTCAGTAACATTGCACTTCCTCTGGATTTCTGCATTGCTATGCGTCCGTAATACATACTAGCACAACTGAACGAGCAGAACATGCAACATAATTTTATCAAGTCCACCAGGGACTATAACTTTTGTTTATATATCTGAACTTATAATCAATTCCAATCACAGTGTGTAATCAAAGTGTCTTTTCTTACACCATAACTATGCAAGTGCTTTGTAATGCCTGGCCTTTTTTCAAGATGTAGGATTTGCTCAACGAGCTGTTTTGACACGACATTAAGGCCTGTAAGGAGACCGTGATTAGGTTACCCAATTTTATTGTCATATTTTCAAGTCAAGTCAAGTATTAGAAAATAAATTCTTAAATTATCAAAGTTGAACACCTCATTTGTACAATGTGTATTTACAGCAGTTTCTGCACTTCTGATGAAAAATGAAAATTGGGGTGATTTATTAGGTAATGATGACCATTTAATAAAAATACATGTATAATTACCAAATGATTTCTTTTCTGCCTGATCAAGGGTAAGTAATGGCATACATGTTCCAGATTGTACAGTGCGTTCAACAATTGTAACAAATATCTGCTCTTGCTTTTTTGTGGCAACTTAGAATTTGCAAGATTGCAAACAGCTATGCATGACAACATAGGAAACATTTGTATTTCATGAACACTAAACCACACTTGGGAGCAACCGTCACAGAATGGCTGCACCTGGACCACCATAGCCACTGCGGCAATGGCCAGACTCAACAAGTTGTGGAAAAGTACCACTGGCTTTCCTGCCAAGTGCAGACTCTTCAAATTCCTGGTGGTCTCTGTCAAATTATACGGGTGGATACTACTGACAGAGAAAGATAAATCCAGGCATTTATAGCCAAACTCCTGAGGAAATTGCTCTGCATCTTCTACTTGGAGCATAAGACCAATGAATACATGCAGAGCAATGTCAAGAGCATTGTGGGTTGTCAGCAACTCTCCTTGTCACTATTAGGAGAGGTTCCTTCGATCTTGAAGCCTTCAGCGTTTGCTGCCTCCAACATATTCTCAGACTATACCAGTATGATCATGGTGCCATATCCAGATGTTGTAGGTCACACACTGCAAAAGCATTGCAGTGGGCATCACTGCACGTCAACTCCAATTGATCAGCCATATTATCAATATGTTTTCAATAGGGGCCAGATTAGCGTGTAGCGGTGCTGTGTAGCTCATCGCTGAGGTGGTGGAGCGCTTTTGTCCCCGGTGGTAATCTGCTCACTCTAAATGCCCCAAACTGTGGTATACTGTTTCAAAACAAGGCTGGATTATCTCCACTATTGAGAGTGAAAAAATGCCAGTAATGCCCAGCAGCTCAATCTTTTGTGCCGAGCACAGTCTTTTGTTACAAGGCCCAGTTCTGTCCCGGTTTCGGGCTCCCAGCTTCATGTAAGGGGCCTATGTATTAAAAAATGGGTCGCCCAGCAGGAAGTGGTTAACCTTCCCTTTAAAAATATCCTCTCAATTCAGGAATCTGCCCAGAAAATACTGTAACGTCAACTGCCTCTAGGTCAGACCCGCCAGCACTGGGAAAACAGAAAAAATGCTTACTTGAACATTAATGAAGAAAACAAGGATGCTAAGGTAGAAATGTTGGCACTGAAGCACCCCACCGTTGGAAGGTGGCTGCTGGTGGACTTTTGTTTGCCGAATGAGTTCTTCCCGGAAACGGCAGCAGGCCTTCTCAAGAAAATGAGGGGGTGAGCCGCTTCAGGTGGAAGTAGCCCTACTATTATGTAGACCCTTCTGCCCGAGGAGTTTTGACATCCAGCTCCATGTCATCCAGTGTGTCCATCCGTGGGGGGGCTCCACGCCACGTTTGTTCATGCCCCTCACTTAGATGGTGCGCATATGCGCACTGAATCCTCAGCGCCAGAGGCCAATAAAATGGCTCTTGACTCGGGAAGGTAATCAATCAACATCAAGCTTGGATGAAGTTGTTTGCCCCTCATTTCCATACCGATTAGAATTGAAACATTCAAAGTCCCTTTCGCTAACTTGCACATTATAAAAATCCATTTTCTGCCAAATTTTTGCCTGTCTTTGTCACGTACCTCAAAAGTAATAGAGTCAGAAGTTGGAAGTGAAGCCAACATTTTAGAAGGGATTTTTTTCAGTTCTGCCGAGTTTTCTATGACATTTCTCCACTTGTGAATAGTGAGGAATATCATGAACTCCCTAATGAGAAAGTATCATGCAAAAAGGAAACCGTATGGATGAGAACGGAAAGTTTTTGTTTGGGTCTTTTAGGTGGGCAATTTGACTTTGTACATACAAGTGCAATGCAGTAAAAGTCAACTTGTACCCCAACATGTCACTATTATGCATGTAAATACACAAACTAAATGCATGCACAGTATATGGGGACCGAACATGAGTGATGTGACTCCTGTTGTAGATTGTCGTGTTATGGGGTTGGTTATGAATTTGCCGAACAACCACACCTGCTCGGATTGAAGGCTAGGTTTTGACACACTGTGAATTGGAGGACTTCAGTGCTGCTGGGAAAGGTCCCTTCTGTCTGCCGTATGGCATCTGTTGTTGGATTTTTTTTACATGGGTTCCTGCCCCTGCTACTGAGGCTGCCACAGCCCGTGAGCACCAAGTGTGGGAGACTAGGTTCGGATTTGCACAAAAAGGTTGCTATTTGTACATCCTAGCACTTGTAGTTGTAGAGTGAAAATGTGGGGAGTCCCATGATGAAGCCCCGGCCACATTGCAACAGCACGCACAGCTTGACTATGTAGCCATCGTTAGCATGGGGCAGTTCCCCATGGCACTTGCTGTAGTATGGGAAAGGAGTGGACTCTGAAGATGAAGCCCCGCCCCCTGCAACAACACCCACAGCTGCTGTGCTGCCATCTTTACCACGGGGCGGTTCCCTGTGGGCCCTGACATTAGGTGAACTGACAATAACATCATTGAGTGTCCCAAAACTAAGCCCTACTCCTGCTGCACTGAAAGGTGCAACTCGATAATGTTCCCACTAGAACATAACTCTGCTTCTTCTCACAGTCTACTGCACGTACCATGTTGGTGCAGACCATGCATGGTATGACACTCACCATCTGACCTCTCTCACTTTCACTACTCCCTTCCTGCCCACATCTTCCAGAGTAAAACTCTCTTGGCCAACATCCTTGAAAAAAAGAGTCCGGTTCATCAGTGTCTTTTCACTGAGCTGGCCCTTGAAAAAATACTTGAGTTCATCGAAAGTGATAAACGGCATTTTCCCCTGTCCACCAGGAAGACCCACAATTTCTGAGGCCCTATTCCAGACCACATCCCTGCTGATTGGCGAGTTGGATGTCAGACGAACGTGACTCGGTTGTACATGCCAGAAAAAAAGAGAGAAAAATTCACCTGTCTTCTCCGTCAGCGTGCCGCCGCTGCCACCAATGTGACATGAACCTCCTCTATGGGTCTTTCTCGAGCTGATGAAAGACATTATGAAGACTTCTGCTAAGGTTTTTGTGACTCTCAGCCGTTTATTTTCACACTGTTACTCCTGTCTGGCATAAACGCCAAACCCCACCCAAAACAATGTAACCTAGAAAACACTTCTACACCGGCACCACAGCAACGGGTCTCCCAGGCTAACCAGCAAGGGCCCACCACACGGCTTTTGTGTGGATCCGTGCTAGTGCCCCCACTGGTCATCTGACACTAATGCTACAATTCCAAGACTCTAAATCAAGAACTTTTCCCATGAGGACTCTGTGTCTCCTCTGTTGAGCCATTGGTTTTATGTAAAAAGAACATTATGTATGCATGTACATATACATTAAAGGGTTTGCTGCAACTGTATAGTTCCAAGGTTACTTTGGAGATGCTACTCTGGTTCATACCTAGTGATTTCAATTTTTAATGCACTGTCCTCCCTAAATATGGGATGTGATGTAAAAAACAAAACTAAAACCACAAAACAAAGAAAATTAAAACAGACCAAGTAAATAACTTCCACAAAAACATGTTTACATTACAAACCTTGTACAGCCATTACTTCATTCTTGTGTCTATTTTACTCACACTGTAAACCCTTGTTAAACCCAGGTTTTTGGTCATGATTTCCTTGACTTGTCCTTTTCGTTTTGTGATAGACAGCACTACACTGCAATTTCAAAATTAATTTCATAATATTTAAAAAACTTGAGACGTTCCACGTCTGTTTGAAACAGAACATATTCGCATTTCTAAGCTCTGAAATTAAAATGTCCTTGGCATGTTGCCTTCCCATATATGTGCTAAAACATGTCGCGTTAAAAATCATGCCAAAAAATCAAAGTTCTGAGCAAAAGTAAAAATTTTACAACATTAAAAAAATGATGCATTTTGATTCTCAAAAATCTCCAAACATCCCACATATAAGCCTAGACCAAGATATTGTGCAAATCTGGCCAACAGAATATACGGTGTGTACACCTGTTCACGATGGTATAGCCCATCGGTGTGTGTATATATATGCATGCCTTTTCCAAATGCTGTGCATCAATACTCACTACCCACACTCACCCATACATTGCCTGGGCTCCAGTCCATAACCCAATGTCTTAATGGTTTTTGACCAAGCCAGCAAAACTCACTACAGTTAAAAGAGTACAAGTGAAAACAGCTCTCCAATGGTCAGTGCGGGACATTGGTCATGTTTAATTAACAGACTGTTGTACCTTCTGTGAAGTAACCCTGTAATAATAGACTATCACCAAGGGTGAAAGTCTTTGAATGCTCAGTTTGTACTCCTGTACTGAGGGCTCCACAATTCTTCATCCTACTGTTGTCATGATTGGGTTGCCATTTCCCACATTTCATTGAATGAAATACCCGTAAACACAATAAATGTTAAGTTACGAATATCACCCTCATACTCATTTTGCGACTGGACACCTTGTTGCTAGCTATATGCATGATTTACATGTACATGTCATGTTATTCAAGAGCTCGTAATTGGTCCATTAAAATGAATCATTCATATTCTTTGAAAGCTTGTTTTATATGATGGGCTTAAGACTAGTAGTTGATATTCATACCCTGCATACCTGATTATCCTCCCCCCAAAAAAACAATCTTGCAAAACTGGAAGAAAATTAAAGAAAGACACTGCTACAGACCCAATAAGTGGTTGGCTTTCTACTCGACAGGCCCTGTACAGCATGTACACGTGTATGTTCGTAAATGAACTGCAGTACATACACTTTACTGTACATTGCTACAGTAATTGTACTGTATGCAGGTTGAAGCACTGGGATAAAACATGGTAGCTTGTTTGCCGTGGGTCCCATGCATAAGGCCGTATTATCTCCCTTCGACAAAAAAGTACCATAACCCATCTTGAAAAAGGCTACCTACACACAGGCAACCCAAGGTCTTGCGAGAAGAATTTTGTAAAACCTTTAGTTAAGGAGACATGTCAAGAAGAATGTGAAAACAAGGAAAATTTAAAAATTCATAATGTTTTGTTAAAGTGTAAATTTCACATAGATGTGTTCAAATGCACTGTACAATTAAGACATTACACATAGTACAATGCAAACATTTAAATGTGGTTGAGCTGATGGCATTTAAGGGTGCATTGGGCAGCCAAAAAATGACCTACAACCACTCGCATCTGTAGAGAAAAGGCAATAAGTTACAGTTTTAGAGGTGGGAGGAAAACACCAGAAAGGAAATTTTTCTGGATAAAATCCACAGAAGTCAGGTAGGGACTGAAAACCCTATCCACATGTGGACCGAACCGGAGATTGAACATGGGCCACAGAGGTGAAAGGCGAAGAAAGAACTACCTTGCCAACCCAACTCCCAAAGATTATTTTGAAACAAGTATTTTAAGATGCAGTCCACACAATACATCATAACAAATCTATCAACTCAAAAGAACCAGTGGTCAGAATACCCTCAGACTTTTTTCCCAATAGCGTCTGAGCCCTTAGTAATTTTAAAATAACTTTAGTGGTCATTTTGATGGCAGCCGTTACGGAATATGGCAGCCACATCTCACCTGGGTAATATCATGAGTGCCTTAATATCTAAATGTTGAGGGAATGCATCAAGCTATGTGTGCCCCAAATTTGGTATGCTGCCGTACTATAAGTCCTATCTCATTCTTTGAACAACTGAAGGCTATGTTTATTAAGTCTTCATTTCTTTATTGCCACATCTTGTACTGCTACATGTATGAAAGGCAAATCTCACATACATCTGGACAATTCTGGTTCACTGGACAATACACTCTTCAAAATTACAAAAATATAAGAAGTGATAGGCTTACACTATGAATTCTTTGATGCTGTTCTTCTTGTGGTAACACTTGCTGAACCTTGTGCTGTGGAAGTTGTTGCCGCTGATGTGAATGCTCTTGATGGCAGTCTGGCTGTTCATAAGAAAGTGGGCTACCTTGAACCAAATGTGCATTCTTTGAGGACGTACTGACTATAGACAGGGCAGACTGGCAGGATGGAAAAGATTGTGATTGATGAACAAGCTGTTGCCTTGCATTTTGAAGATACTGCTGCTGCTGTCTTTGTATATCTTGAAATGACTGCCTATCAAGAATCTTTGGTTCCAGCAGTGCTTTATGTAATAGAGAAGTTGTTGTCTGTGCTAATGGTTGCTCAACCTTCACATGCTCATTCTGTAATGAAGAATAACTCACTGGTTTTTGTTCTGAATCAGCTGAAGCAACACAACTACTCAATACATTTTTAGCATTCACTGGAACTGTATTGGAACTAGTTACGTGGACGAGTCCCTTGCTGTTTCCACTGTGTGGTTTAGACATTCTGCTCTGATCTACATGTGGTGTCTTTTGCCGTTTCTTTTCCTTTAGATGCAGTTCCCAATTATCTCCAATACTATTCTCCTTCCGCAAGCCATGACCCTGCAGGCCAAAAATGGATTTCTGGTTTACTGTTAAGTCTCTTCACAGCACCAATATTTCAAAAATTCCCCTTTGAGGAGTAAGATATATTGTTTGCAGTATTTTAAGGGTAGCTGTAATCAATATGTTTTCATACAAACTTTCAAAGTGTACCCGTGTGTTTCAATTAACCTTATTTCCAACTTTTTGATTGACTATTTCAAAGGGTATTTTACGGCAATTTTGGTTTTTGTGCAACGAGTATTTCCATATTCAAGAGAAAAACTGTGATGTCATCTTAGGAAGAAAACCTGAATGTTACATTAGTTTGTAAGTCTTGCATTTTTGTCCATTTGAGTGGACTCAATTTTCTCTTCTTTGCTGATTCATTGTTGTTTATGTGCATAGCAATATGCATGGCAGTATGAAAAGATACCAATCAATCCCTTTCTCAAATTTTGGATTTCCAATCTGAACAGAAAAACCTATGCACTGAACTATGTCTTCTCTTGATGACTTCACAGCAACAGTGCCCTCAGTTTTCCAGGAAAGCAGGAATAACTTTAAGTGTTTAAAGAAGGGCCCTTTGAATGAATTTCACCAAACAGGAATGTAGAAGAGTTTCCATACAGTGAAGAAGAGTATTTGTGTCTAAGAAAACTCATTGCAGCTACACTTTAAGCCTTTTAGCTCTTGGTAATTATGCTAATCCAGCTCAAGAAATAACAAATTTAAATATATAGCCAACACAGTGGGCCAAATCAATGCTTTTGAAAGGTTCCATTTTGTGAAAAATAAACTACCTTGGAAAAGGCATTCTTGAATAAAAGAGGAGCAGGAAGCCAAGCAACACTACTGACGTGTTCCTTTTTTTTAATTTAAATAAGCTCACTCAAAAGAAAAAAAAAATTTACAAACATGGCCAATCCAAAAATGTTCCCAAAGTAAGTGGGTTAAACTTTATTTAGAACAAGGAACTTATAGAAAAACAAAAACTGAGGGGAAACAATAGCACACATAAAAGACTCACAATGTCACTGCAGTTTGGAAAGCTACTGAAAGCAAAGCCATGGACTGCAATGAATACACTGTATCTATATTCTTGTTCGCCCAACTGGTTCCCTCTTTCCGAGAAATTACTTGTGCTATGAGAGGTGGCAGAAGCCATTAGTGTCAAGTCTCTCCGCAAACTAGTTTGTAAAATAATATTGGTGATATAATGTGGAATTACTTGGAATAACAATGAATATGATGATGCTTCAATGCCATTGGAAATGTCAAATCTAAAGCAACTTTTCAAATGCTTGATTTTGCATTGATTCCTTAGGACTAGCACTTTTTTTAAGTTTATGGTAAGCTTGGTCTGCACATCACTTTGTAACTGATCTTCCAAAGTTATAATACCATGAAGAAAGAATTCAAGACATGCCAGGAAAAAGCTCAACTATCAGAAATCACTGGTGTCGGAAGTGGGGCAGGGGGACCAGTGGCCACCCACTGTTTCAACTAGGGGGCCCCCCATTTCAGCAGGTCCTATAATGGGGTGGAGCTTAATGGATTGGCCTATTAATATGGCAGATGCCTGATGGTCTAACAACTGCCCTCCCACACTTTGAAAATCATTCCTCCACTGATGTTGGCCATGAGAATGCTAAACCATGAGAACATCTGAAAACTTGGATTGGACAAGATACCGATTGCGCCAGTTATTTTCAAGCTGAACAATGCAATATAAAAATGGTGTCATCCCATTTGAAAGGAAAAGATAAATATTTGGGTTGGGAATTAATTTTTCTAAGTTTAGGTAGCTCATAAACAAACTTATCTACTCCACCTTGAACTAAAACCCTTGGTTATATCTGATCTTCTAATGGTGTCATCCCGTTTGAAAGGAAAAGATAAATATATGGGCTGAGAATTAATTTTTCCAAGTTTAGGTAGCTCAGAAACAAACTTATCTAGTCCACCTTGAACTAAAACCCTTGGTTATATCTGATCTTCTAATCATCTTCTTATAAATTCCATTCATTTTGTACATAGTTCTTATACCATCAACTTTTGTCCGTTCGCAAGCAAAGCTCTTTACAGCAAAGAATGGTAACATGTTACCAGATGTTTATGAACACCTAATCATTATGAACACCTACATGCTTTTGCTGATGAAAAAAATTTAATATACTGCAGGAAAATACATACCTGCGAATAATCCACAGTGGTCTGAACAGCAGTTACTTTAGCAAATTCTTCAGTCACTTCAGGTTTCATCACTGTTGTTACATTTTGAGATCTTTTCCTGTCATCTGCATTTTCTGAAACCATGCAAGATGCTGCTGCTGTGTTCTTTCTGTCTCCTGCTGTCATAACTGTGGCACTCTGTTTGGGAACTGCTGCTTGTATGTTTGGTGAAGGATTTACATCATTTTTAGCTAAAAAAAAGACAAACATAATTGTTTAATACCCAATGTACCATGGAGTTTATTTTCACTAGGTAATCCAAATCATTTCAGCTATTTTGAGAACTGAAAACCAGAATAGAAGGAAGCAGTATCTCAGTAAAAGCAAGTCTTTTCATAACAGGCTCTGTTAAATGTGCGCTTTACTTCTGCTTATTCCGTAATTTGATTGCGAAGCCTCTGCCCCATTTAAGGATAATAACAAAGGTTAGTTTTGTTTTCTCTCAATAACTGGCCATATCGGAATTATCAAATTGAAAATTTATTTCAAAGTCCCTCTTTGGTGTCTCCACACTGTCTTCTTAGCCAAGGTCACTGTTCGGAAGATTTTCAAATAGTTTTGACTCTCTAAATAGACTATAAGGACCATTCAGAGTTCATTTTTAAATGGTTGATAAAACACCCATCAGCAACAACAGTGGCCCCTGAACAACATACATGTAGATAAATTTTTTCTTCCACACTGCTTTGCATTTGGTACTTGGGATGACATCACAATTTCTAAATGCATTTACATGCGCATAAATTCCTTCCCCACATTAAGTGTGGGTTGGGTCTACTAGAGAATACCTACCCAAACAGTCACTACATATGCAAATTTACCATGCATGTATTATTCATTCGCTGAAAAGATTTGATCACCTGTGGTGCACCCTGACCTCTCACAATGCAGCGTGGCCTCACTGCCATGATCATCCTTTTTGAAAGCAGCTCAAAAGGTCGGAGCCAGGGTGGGGAGGACGGGCGGGAGAGGACTGTTTGGGTAGGTATTATCTAGTAGACCCAACCACACTTAATGTGGGGAAGGAGTCTACGGCACTCTACCTACCCAAACAGTCACTACATATGCAGAGTAGCACCAGTCTAGGTGGGGGGAGTTTGGTGATGACACATCTAATGGCGAGAATACACTTTTACCTATAAAAGTTATATATTATAAAGTATTATTATTAAGTATAAAGAGGAAGGTATAAATTTGAGAAATGGTAAAGGAACTTCACAACGACTTCTTGTCTGTCCTTCAGGAGGTCCCTTTGACCTCTGCGCTGCGGACAGCAGGATGATCCTGCCATTTGCGATGTCAATTTGCAGGACATCCCTCAAGTTGCAGGAGGTAGAAGGAGACTTCCAACAGGCAGTTTTGCAAAAGTCTGCAATGGCAACATCTTGAGAGTAAGACAAAGATCCAGATCCTGCTCGTACGTCATGAACCCTGATGTAATAATGACTATGTTCATCAGAGCTTAAGGCCAGACTGGATTAGCAAATCTAATGGCCGAAGCCGTCCAGCAGGCAATAGTGAACTGACACCGCTGAACGGTGTGTTCTCATGAAAGTGATAAGCGATGGGGTTAATATTGTCCCTTTCAAGCTATCCTTTTAGTCAGGTACCACTTCAGGACATGAACAGGCCCCCAAAGTTTATCCGCATCATCCCCAGGATGTGAGGAGGCGGAGAGTGTAAAGATATGAGACAGATCGGGTGAGGGAGTCTGATCCTTAGTGAGAAAACCGATCGAAGGAATGAGGTGAACATCATGTGGCTCCATACACAGACAGCCTTTGGCAATGGGGAGAGCCAATAGTTTGCTGCCTCCTCAGGACTTAACCATTTTCAGGAGAAAGGCCAACCTGACACAGGTGTGTGTAAGGCAGTCGTCATTTAGGGTTCAAAGAAGTACCGGAAAGTATCTCCAGAACCTAGCTTAGGCCTTATGACCAGACCTATTTCCCAACAACGGAACAGTGGATAAGCATATCACAAAAGAGGTGATGGAATGTCATGTTGTTAAGGGCAGTTACCGATTTTGAAACCAATGTGTATGGCAGCTAGGGCTGACCTGTAGATACAGTACTTGTAGCTCCAAGTGAAAGCAGTACATGTACACAAGGAAGTCTGTTATAGCACTCGCAGGAGGGTTAGCTGGAGCTAAAGCCTGACTATCGACGCACGTAAAACAATGCTAAAATCTGCTGTCACATATTTGAAAGGTGGGCAGATGACGTCCCATGCGGCCATGGCTGCTAGAGAGTCCCGCCAAAGAAGAAGATTGTGGGAAGTTAATAGTGAGGAAGCGAAGAGATTGATGTAAGGCTGCTCTATCATCCTCGGGAGAGTGTGTCCACCATTACGTCATTGGACCCTAACATGTGGATCGTCTGTAGGTTAACTGCATGATCCCTTGTCCTTTCCATTAATTTGGTTGGCAATGTGAAAAAAAAGAGGCAAGAAAGCCGCAAGACATACTCAAAGACAGAGATGACACTATCATTCAGAGTCTTTTGCATGACTGTAGTGAGGTCTGGGCAGGAAGGAAAACTATCTTTTCTCATCAAAGGAATAACCTCGATAAGAGGAGAAGAAATAAAATAGGTCAGAGACCGAGACAAAGACTCCATGTAACCTAGATAAAGTTGGTGTCAGTCTTTATCGAGCAAGGAGTTCCTAACAAAAAGGCTTGCTATGCATAAGTTGTCTTTAGCAGCAGTGTATAACACCTGAATATGCAGAAGGGTGTCGAAGACATTCATGTCCAATTGAAGGTAAGCAGTGTTCCGTACCCAGTGTGGCTGCCGGCGTCCCGACTGCGATGGGAAACTTTGATCATTTTCACCCATGAGTGAAAAATAAATGGCTGGCGTAGAGGAGTCAGGCCGCATGACGTTTGCGACGGAGCAACTCTCTCTGTGAAAAATACATGTTAACCTTAACTGGATGAAACTGCGAGTAATTTACGCTCAAAGAAAATCTCCGCAGACAAAAAACAAAACAAAACCATTTCGATGTCCGAAATCAGGTTAAGCACTAACAAAGTACATGCATTCATTTCAGAAAAGAATAGGGTCTAGCAGAATTCTCTCTCTTCGTTTCGATCATGCTGAGCATTTATATCGGAAGAGAAAGCCCGCGAAACTATTCCAACAAAATGGGTGACTCACAGCAGACCTACTACTGACAGACCTCGTAACAGTTAAAGTAAACAGATTTTTGGACTAGCCCACTTTGAAGCGAACATGTTTTGAACAGTGTGCACTGTGCATTATGGTTGGGCTGCACAGTAGAATACCTGTGCTCACATGGCGACACATAAGTGGGGCCACAAAACGGTTGTTCTGCTGATCGCAGGATTGTACGTCGAGAGACGCAGTGAAAATAGATTCGTAAAATTCTCCTGCAGGGCCCCTTGGGGAACCCCGGGATAACGGGGTGTCAAGGGGTGTGTACAAATCAAAATGGCTTGAAAAATGTTAGGTTCTGATGTCTGGGGATGCAGACTGCCTCTGCAGTAGTAGGTCGGCGTCATGATGACAAATTTACCGTGACAGAACTGAAAAAGATAGGAAGACTGCCTGGAAATGTTATTTGTTTGTTATCTTGGTGCCTGGTACCGTAGTCTCGAATGCCGGTAGGTTTAGACTTGTGGCGGTCATTAGAGATCATCAGATAAAGCGTGGACTCACTTCCCCGTGGCCTGGGCGGGCCTACCGGTGGTAGCCAGAGTAGCTCCAGAAGGCTTTGACGGAGCCTCAGGATTTTTTTAGGGGGGGGGGTCCGCATCTGATGGCGTATTTACCAGGGCAACAATCCAGGAAGTTGGTTTGGAAAGTGCTACCGTGTGGATTACTTATGGATGCCCATGCAGTAGATACATGTATGTTGGAGGCTAGCTAGGTCGCATTTGTATTTTCCATAACTGATAACATAAGGAACTTGTAAAGTTCCAAGGACCCTGTTATAACAATGTCCCACTGTGTTCAACAGAGCAGATGTCTCCAAGACGTTCTGCTTGAAGGCCCTAGATAAAGGGAAGGCGACAAGGAGATGTTGCCCGGGACTGCTCCAGGAGCAGTCCGCTAAGGCGAAGAGCCAACTTCGCGAATGGGAGCCCCATAGCAAGAAGTATCTCAAGACGTGGGGCTGTCGGTTGACTGGCACGGGCGTGGTCGGTGCCTTCCTCTGGAAGGGAGGCTGATGGAGGATCGTGAATCTGGAATATGTCATAGGCGGCGAGGACGCCGATAAAATTGGTGTTATCTTCAACCAAAGACACGGTGACTTTGCTTTGACTGAAATAATGCTATGCTATAGTCAAGAACATGAAACTTCATGGTCACGGTTTTAAAAGTTGCAAGTTGTATACCTTTTTCAAATCAAAACTGTACAAATTCATTGCATAACTGCAAACTAATTATTTAACACACCTCCTGCATGCTTGGTCTGATCTAAAAGACAGGATTGGCCATACATCAGATCCATTCTTTGCTTGTAGTTTAAGCAAGTTTGAATAGGCAGTAAAGGGCATTTCTTGTTTATAGACGAAGTATGGCTTACTTAAGACATATTGGAGGACTAACATGCTTGCCATGTTCCTGAATGTGCCTATCCATTGGGCCCTCTACATCACCCCTTCCTTGTCATGAGGCTATTGACTTCAAAGTCTTTGCTGCAC